GCTCCGATAGAAGAGGATAGGTGTGACTCGCGTATTGAGATACGACATAAGGATGACAAATCCTGAACAGTTTTAATATTTAAAATTTATCATTATATATGACGAATATATATTTTAGTTATTTTAGTATAAAGACAACAGGGCATGCAATGAAGTAGTTCGACGTACATCGAAAAGCACCTGAAGATGGCACTTTAGTGCCGAAACATGTAGTGCAAGAGAGAAGAGTAAGGTGAATAAATGTATGCACTGTAAGACGGTCAGAATAAATCATGAAGATAAAAGGAGGTATATAAAATCACCTTGCTGTCTGTCTATTCGTCTGTGTCTGTGTGTCCATCTGTTTCTGTCCATTTATCTGTGTATTCCTCCATTAAGGAGGTTTATGGGGCTTATAAGATCGCATTGTTGCCGGTCTGATTACACCCCCTAATTTTTTTCCATTCCCTGTGCTGTCCATATAGTGTCAAAGAAAGTAGGTGATCAGTTCATCCCAGAACTTCTTGTTTTTCTGTGAGATATTAATTAAATTTAATATACGAAGTTGATGTTTATTTTTGTTTTGAAATTTTGTTCAGATGCAGACCTTCGGATATTAATATCCAAGTTCTTATCATAGGCAGTAAAGTTCCAGATCAGGTCCTTTCCTCTGCTCACATTGAAAGTTCGTTTTATAACACTAAGCATCTCTCTGCACTTCCTTACGCTTTACCCTCTCTTAAACGGACCTCTGTGCTTCAATCAAAGTATTGTGAGAATAAGTGAACATGTTCCAGCCAACGAGAATGCGCAAAAATAGGGCGTTCATTTCTAGACAATGCATAGGTGGGCACGCCTGACAATACATGATATCCGTTGCTTTGCAGCTATGTGTTTTCTGTGAGTGGTGCGTGCCGAGCCTATATAGAAAGCAGTGAACATTGTTTGAGGAGATTCGTGAGGAAGACCTCGTTCTAGGCAGTCGAATAGTTGATATGTTAGTGTAATAACGAATTGTAGTTATGACGTGGAAATTATCGAATAAATCGAGTTATCGAATCCGGAACCGATTATTTACTGTTGCGTCACCAAGATACGCGTTACAATATCTATCTCAGTTTCTCCCCTCTGCTTTATATCCTCCCCCCCTCCGTATCTTTATCGTGTTTGGAATGGTTCGATGGAAGTATGAAGACCTCATAGTCCAAGGTCACTGCTAATGATCTTGAAATTCTTACTGATTACACCTGTTCCTGAAAATGAAGAAATGCTTTGACCGTATTTGTCCCACTACTAATTTTGCTGTAACAAAAGAATGATTTTAATGAGTTTCGGCATGAATTAACTTATTAAGTCATGGGCTTTTAAATAACGTCATTACCGACCGTCGAGCTCCAGTGGGTACTCAGACCTGACCGAAGCCCCTACACTTCCTCCGTCCGTCCGTGTTCATTTCGGGAAACCAGCTTAAATTATGCCAGAAATTCTATTTTGCACATAATTTTGTGTACAGCTGCATTAATCATGCTATCATTGACGACATATGTTAGCAGCTGGTCACCATAACGTCAGCGAAACCATGAGCCGTATTTTTCGTAAACAGTAGTCGGGGAAATAAGGCTGTGTAGCCCGTTGAAAGCAAACCGACGTTTCGGAGGAATATTTCCCCTTCATCTTCAGGAATGACGGACAAGACAAGCAAGAAGCCAGCATGAAGCATACAGCAACGTCAGAAGATTTTGTGGTGTTCCAGCGACATCTTTGAGCCAACTATTGATTTGAATGGGGCTCTTTCCAGTATATCCATAAGAAGAGCTACAGTCTAATTCCATGGAGTTGAGTCCTAGCAAAGCCATCAGATGCTTAGTTACTCAAGAATTTCCAAATTTTTATGGAAACCGAAGTTTCAGTACCGTGTTTACAAGAGTCTTCCCCTAGTCCATAACCTGAGCCAGATCAATTCAGTTCATATCACCGCATCCTATCTCTCTAAGATCATTTTTCATTTTATCTTCCAACCTACGTCTAGGTCTATCTAGTGGTCTCTTTCCTTCTGGATTTCCCACCAATATCCTGTTCGTCTTTTCACTGTTCGTGCTACATACCTTTCCCATCTCTCCTCCTTGACTTGAGCATTCTAATTTCGAGAAGAGTACAAGTTATGAAGCTCCTCATCATGCAGTTTTCTCCAGCCTCCTGTGACTTCGTCTCTCTTCGGTATCAACGAACTACATGGCCTTATATTCCTGAAGACAGAAGCCCTTACACTGACTGATATGACCACCTCAGATCCCGAAAGATGAAAGTTTAAGCTAGTGATATTCTTTCTTTCTTTCTTTCTGAGTATAGGGCTTTCTGGACCTGGCCCCCTTTTTTCAATTTCTTAATCCTATACGCAGCCTGTACGACTCATTAGACGGGAGATGAGCATGTAAGGCCGTTACCAACACACAGAAGAAACGTACACACATATTCATGCCACGAGATGAATTCGAACCCACGACCACAGTATTCGAGCGAAGGAAGATGGTTCATGCCTTAGACCGCGTGGCCGTTGTGATCAGCTGTGATACTGAGCCTTTGCAATTTGAGTCACAGACCTCATTGTGTCAATAAAAAGCGCGGTCCCACCAAGGAAAATAAAAAGACTCTCTCTTCCAAGGTGATGTGCTTTTAGAATTATGTATATGTTACTATTACATTAATTATTAATAAATATTATTTTTGAGGCGCCATGTCTCAACCTCCTGTTCATCATATTCCAGCAGCGTGTCCCGTCCCAGGGCAGGAAAACAGTAGTTTAACGATATCAGTGAGGTTTGAGGTTTCTGCCTCAGTTGTTGTTGTCATTGTTGTTATTGAAGGGGGTGGGTTTCCCCATGCACCGCGACCAGTTTGATCTATTGTGCATCTCCCTATGATCTTCTACCAGCCTCTATACCCTACCGGTACTGGTGCTTACCATCAGTCCCTACTCAGCCAGCGAGGTCGGCCTCTACTGGCTCAGAGGTATCTCGATGCTTACCCCATCTACCAGAGGCGTTAGAGACTACTGTTGGGCGGGAAATGTCCTTAATTTAGCTCAGTGGCCTCCTTTAGAGACATGAGGTTCTTTTACGTGCCGTAAAGCTACGACACGGGACCCACGGCTTAAAGTCCCTCCCGGAGGACTTGTTCCCTGAATTTTTCCGCCCTTAAAAATTCCACGACCTCCGCCGGGTTTGAACCCGCGTACCTTGAGTCATGAGGTGGGAACGTTACCCCTAGACTACGGAGGCCGCTTAGTGGGCCAGTCACTGGGCAGGTTACTGTCTTCTTGGATGCGGCGCCGTGAAGCTAAGGTACAGTGTTGCCCCTCAGTGGTCTCAAGTCAGCCGTGACGTAGATTTCGGTTCAAGAGACTCAGTTTTTTTCTTGTTTTGGCAGAGATTGTTGATTAAGAATGGCATGTTGAAGCATTTGTCGGCGCTACTAATGTTTCAGAGGAAAGTATTGCCGTCATCTTCAGGGTAGAGGTTTAAGCAGCTTTGTTTTCATCCCAGACGATGTTAATCTCAAATATGATTACTGTTCAGTTTGTATGGCGAAGTTCGTGATGCGTTTTCATAGTGCGCATACGGCTACCCCGTATCCGTTTATCCAGCTGCGAGACATTCTTCATGGGAGTCATGCTTTACTGTGCTCTGTGTAGCAAAATCGCTTGCTGCTATTCCCTCATGCGCCCATCTCGATCTTAACTAGCTAAATATTCATTTTCGGAAAAAAAAGAAAGAAAGAAAGAAAGAAAGGAAACTGCAGTCTCGAGGGGTGCGTTCCTGTAAATTCAAGCGAATATGGAACTAGTGATATTAACTCCACAAATCATTAGGAAAATCGGGTTACTTTCTGGTCAAATGGGATTTATGGTGGACAATGTGGCGCTGGTGCAGGTTTTCTCCGAGTACTTCGGTTTCCCCTGCCAATCTTCATTCCACCAATTGCTCCACAATCACCCTCACCTATCATCTGGGGCTGGTACAATAGGCCAGAAGTGGCGGCAGTACAAGGGACTTAGTCCCACCCCACTAGCAATAAAAAAATATGGAGATATGAATTGGCGAGCAGGTAATTGTTACGCTGTATATAATTTGCTTGAAATAATGGAGCTCCAGTCTGAATCTAGACTCAGTAGGCGTGATTCAATATCTTAACGCACTTTTAACTAAATTGTTGGTTGCGAACACCGCCTCCCCAGGGGTAGCGAATTACTCTTAGGAAGGTCGCAGAGGTCTCAAAAAATATAATTTATGTGTAAGTGTACAGAGTAAGTTGATACTAACTTCGCCGACAAACGGCGGTCGCTCCGTCGGTATAGTTCGCTTGCGGACTACAGCCACGGAGTTTGTTTTATTTGTTTTTACTATACAGTAAAGGGAGTTAAAGTAGAGCTTTGGCAAGTCAGTAAGATTTAATATAGGTGATTTCTGGAAACGTGACTATAACCAGCAAAAAATGTTGCGAATTTTTTTTTTTTTCACGAGTGTACAGGAAGACTCTATAGGCTACTGTAGGTGTAGAAAATTTTCAATTCCACTTATGTTCTGTTATCACAGTACAACCTGATAGGGACCTGCTATAACGTTGAGAACAGCATTTCTCGTGACTGTACAGGAACATTTTAATATCTTAGGTAAGTGTAGAGAGGCTGTAAAGCTATTTAGGTTCCTGCTGTCACCGTACAGCGTAGTAAGAACATGCTACAATTTCGTGACTGTACAGGAACATGTTGTAGCTTACTGCAGGTGTAGAGAGGCTGCAATTCTATTAGGTTCCTGCTGTCACCGTACAATTTGGTAGCGACCTACAAAATTGTGCACAACCGCAGGGGTAGAGGGTCATAAAATTTATGTATTATTTAGGGTGTTTTTGTATCACGAAAACTGAGAACTTGTATATAATAATTTCCGTGATTTGAATTCTTTCCGTACACGGCACACTAACAGTAACAGTAACAGTAACAGTAACAGTAGGAGTAACTTTACCTTCCGAGATGAGTCTCTCCCTGATCTCCCAGGCAAAGATGGTGGGGTTCTCCCTCTTATATTGTTCGATTTTGGAGACGACTGCCGGGGTAGCCACTTTCGGTTTACTTCCACCGATGAGACCCGGGGGTCGTAGCGTTCCTATAACATAAACATATGTACTATTACATACCCGGCGATATAGATGTATGTTACATTTATGCAGTAAATCATTCTGCATGGTTGGTAAAGCAAAAAAAAAAAAGTATAAATTTGTCCGTGTGCTTAACTAATTAAGCACTACGCAGAAATAAGTATGGGGGGGGGGGGTGTTGATGTAGAGATGTGTGTATATATATATATACATATATATATTTTACTGCTTAGAATGACCGATACTGTGACCCCTCAGAATATTTACCTTTCCTCCTGGGACAGAATATTACATTTTATTTTAGAAGAAAATTACACGCAAGATTCTAGAACATTAAGTGCCTAAGAGCAAAACACAAAGATGTCCATGCCATTAACATTACAAGAATGTCATGCATTAAGAGATTCGAGAATTCAGATTTACGTAACTGTAAATTTCGTTGTAGGTCATAACGTAGTATTTTACTGGACAAATTTGACCTTCATTCAGACTTGACCTTCCTGTGAACACTTAAATTTGTACGTTCTTTTGTATTAATATACCGAGAATGTTGGGGCACCGGTAATTTATTAAGACTGTATTCGGGATATATTCGGTTGGAATATCGACGGAGACACCGTCATCCTGACTGAGATCATTCGTGAATTTCCTCAGTCATTTCCGGGAAAATACCTGTATAGTACTTTGATTAAACCACAACCGCCTGCTTCCAAATTTTCAATGCATCATTATCATTCGTTACGATATGGCATACAAGAGTGAGTCGCAGGAGCTCAGTCGGTATAGCAGCTGGACTGCTGGAGTTTGTTTCCTGGTAGAGGCAAGAAAATTTTCTCTTCTCAGCAGCGTCCAAACCGGTTCTGGGGCCAAACCACCCTCCTATCAAATAGTTGTAGGGAATTTTTCCCCGGGAGTAAAGCGACCGGAGCGTGAAGCTGACCACTCAACTCTTATCTACTGCCGATATCAATAATAATGGAGGTATATCTCCTCTCCGCCGCAGTTCTTTATGATGTGGTTCGTAATTAATTAAACACAGGGATAAATTCACCTTTTTACCGCTCTCACCTACAGGTTCATTAGAAAAGCAGGAGATAGTTGAATTGATATTGATGGGCAGAGTGTCCTAAAATACGCATAATTTCGGAGTTTGTCGATAGTTAATGTTACTCTCTGGCAGGTTGAAGTACTGGAAGAAGAAATCACGCCGACAAAGGAAAGCTGACTGCTCTTGTTAAAACATTACAGATAATCTTCTGCAAGATCTGCAAGATGCAGAAATATTTCGTTTTTACTATATTTTACGTGAATGATTCTGAGCAAGTTACAAGATGAGCTCTTATTGGTTACCTCAAGCGAATGCCTTACCAAGGAAGCTCTGGACGGGCTTGGAGATTTCAAAGTAGGAGGGCAAATTATTCAAACTGTGAAATATGCAGATGACCTTGTGTTAATGGCTAAGGAAGAAACTGTGCTACAGGGCATGATTGATAGACTAATTGAAATTGGAAGGTGCTATGGCATGGAAATGAATGTGGAAAAAACAAAAGTAATGAAAATTTCGAGACAACCAACCCCAGTCACAATAAAGATAGACCAAAAACAAGTGGAGAATGTGAAATGTTTTAAATATTTGGGTAGCTTGTTAACAGATGATGGAAGGTGTACTTGTGAAATTAAATCCAGGATTGCCATGGCAAAAGCTGCATTTAGCAAGAAGAAGAATCTTTTTACCAGCAAATTGGACTTAAATTTGAGGAAGAAACTAGTGAAATGCTACATTTGGAGCATGGCTCTGTATGGGGATGAAACTTGGGCACATAGGGCAGTAGATCAGAAACATCTGGAAAGCTTCGAATATGGTGTTGGAGAAGGATGGAGAAGATCAGTTGGACCGATTATGTGAGAAATGAAGCAGTGTTAATTAGAGTCAGTGAGCAGAAGAATATCCTACACGAAATAAGAAAAAGGAAGGCTAATTGGATTGGTCATGTTTTACGCAGAAACTGCCTTCTAAAAGAAGTTATTGAAGAAAAGAGAGAGGGGCGGATAGAAGTGACCAGAAGACGAGGAAGAAGACGTAAGAAGATGCTGGATGACCTTGGGGACAGAAGAGGATACTGTCATTTGAAGGAGAAAGCTCTAGATCGCATCAAGTGGAGGAACTGTTTTGGAAGAGACTGTGGACCTGTCGTCTTGACAGATTACTGATGAATGAAGCCTATGTCCGAATTAGTTTTCAGTTGCTTTCGAAGCTCAATCATGTTGCATCTACACTTATCTTTTCGCTTGCAAAGTTTATCTTAGATCCTGAAATTTGAGGCACTATATTTATCCGAAACATTGATGAATTTATGTCAGACTATTGTACAGTCCTGTTGCGCATCATTAATTATGCAACAAAAATGTTACATTCACCATCTCACGAGAAATACGTCCTTGAAAATCTTATTTAAAAGTAATTTAAACACTCGCAATGCGTCTTAAACTTTATTTAAATGCTTCTGTGCGTTGCAGTACACGTTTCGACCGATATTATTTTTATTATTTAACTGCAAATGGGTTTTGACATTGTGGCAGCGGTACTACAATAAGACAACAGACAAATAACACACATAAACACTTTCAAACAAAACGCAGCACATAAACATTAGTAGAAAATTAACATAATATATAATAAATATTTTTCATCATCGCGCGTTTAAAATTGTTGGCGGAAACTGCTGTGCTTCCATTTCGTGATTCTAATATCTAATATTAATTATTTCCACCAACAATTTTAAACACCTGATGATGACCAATGTCGGTCTTAAATAAGGCTCAAAAATGCAATGTGTGTATGTAAGAAATTTTTAAATAAGATTTAGAAGGACGCGTTGTACGTGAGACGGTGAACCAGTGACCTTAACTGTCACAAGTATGAGAACCTCAACCCCAAAACACTTTAATAAAACCTTTTCTAATTTAAGACCTCATAGGTTAACATTCTGAAGTAGCTAGTAAGGAAATAAGTGGAGTCCTATTAGCGGTACATTTCTTCTTTATTTCTAAGAGCAACATAATCAGATCAAGATCGCAAAAGCATGTTAATAGCGAGTGATGATCTCTGTGACGTCATTCAGTGTCCTGTGGTCCTCAGAGAAACATAGGTCAGCGTCTTTTGTTTCCTTCCGGACGAGAGTGACAAGTAGGGTGACCAACTCTCCCGTATTTCCCCGGATCTGCCGCATTAGAGCTATTTTTTTTGGATCCTCCCGGCTCCCGTATTGACCTTCTATTTCTCCCGTATATTTCATTAACAATCAAGATCGCAAAATTTAAATTACATATTATTCCCGCCAAATACACTCCGATATAAACTGTCATTATTAACGACAGTTTAGACTTAGAGGTACTCATCGATAAATATCGAAAAATTACCTATAATAATCGATAGAAAGTTTGACATATACTAATCGATAGCGGAATATCCGTTTCCGGATTGTAATATTTTCTGTTCTTGCTTCTTGCCATGTTCATCCTCGTGCTTTTAAATAATTACCAAATTGAATCCATTTTCATAATGAGTAGTGAGAGTGAAAGTGAACGTTTGCTGGACTGAAGCCGCGCCGCTAAAAATGAGCAAAATTTATCGTGACTAAATCTCCCTTAAATTCATGACTGAAACTTGGTCACCCTAGTGACGAGTGATGACTCTTCAGTCTCCCCATGCCGTTTCATGTCTTCGAACACCCTACCCGCCTCTACCCGCTTGGCCAGCTTCATCCTTCTCGTGAGGGCTGTGACGTCTGCCGTCCCTCCAGCGTCGATATGGTACTACACTCTTTCGGACAGCCAGTACTTGTCCAAAGACGTCCTTGTGCTCAGTAATTAGTTCCTCCAGTTCTCGGTCCCCTGCACCGCTTAAATTCGACCTGGCGCATGTAATCATGCCCATTAAATGTTCAGAGAGCTCGCAGTCTCCTGCGTCTGGGGGCCACTACATTGAGTGGGGTCAACGTGACTAGTTCACTGGCTCATAAGCATTTCCCCTCCCCCTCTTTATACTAAATGTAGAACAAGAAGTTCTGGGAAGAACTAATCATTTATTTTCTTTTGGTACTACAAGTATCACATAAAAACGAAGCTTTCAGTAAATTTTCGTTTACATGGACACGCGTTTACCGAACCGTTGCCTAGCAACGATATAAGGATACAAAGAGAGAGGTAGAAAGTTTAGTAAAAGAAGGGATAAGGTGTCAGGACGAAGGAAGACCATCGTTTTGTTAGAAAGTTCGCGGGCCTCGGCCTCTCGTCCTTCTGATAGCGATAATATGTCAGTGAAGACGTTAGGAAGGCAATAAACATTGACCTGAGTCAATTTTGGTTTTCTTAATTAGTGTTAACGTATTTTTTCTTTCCTTGGCACTACAGCCCCAGTGGGCCTAGGTCTACCTCCATGAACTTCTCCGTTCACGTCGGTTTTTCTAGATCTTACACATTCGGTAGGACTCCTTGGGCGCGTGAGTGTTAACGTATAATTTGGAAAAAAAAAATAATTTAGTGGTTCTGACAACAATGGAGCTTAATTTTGATGAATTTAACTCCGGAGAACTGCATAAGTAACACGCAGTGGCAACTTGAAACTTGGGAACCATCCGAGCATTTCCTTAAAAACAGTGGAAAACCAAGAAACCCGTGTCTAGAGGCCCACAAAATCTCTTTTGATACGACACGGACCGCACGGAAGTCAACACTTCCAGTAATCCTTCTGTCGTTGCGTGTGTATTCGTTGTCAAGTTAAAGTTTTTACCAAGCCGTTGTGTAGCAACGTACACATTGTGCGTAGGTGTCACGATATACATACCAAGTTTCGCAAAGATTAGTTCAGGCATTATTAGGAATGAAAACACACACACAGGGACACTGAGGAGATCGCGTAATACTGCTTTAGGGAAGTAAAATAAAACCTGTCGTTGCCTTCAGTCGCGCAGTGCAGCCTCAGCGTGGAGAGTGGAGCGTGGAGAAG